AAAGTTAATACCCTGATCAGGTTAGTCATAATTAGTACCTGTTTTTGTCTAACAATGTAAGACTTAAAGTACCAATGCCAAACAAAGAAAAAGCATTATAACTACATATAACGTTATGCTTTGTTTTATTAACGCGAACATTACACATTGGTTAAATTTACTTTTATGGGTTTTATCATGCTTAATTTATTTTAAACGTCGGGTATTAAAAATAAAATATATTAAATGCTATAAAATCTGTAAAAGTGGTTTTAATTAATACATAATATATAATGTTATCTATTTCAATGTGGCGATTCCATGCTCTGTGATATCTTAATTTAAAAAAATCTACAATATAATATACATATAAAATCTTTTCATTCAGTAATGTTTCTTTTTGATAATAATTGTTATGTGCTGACATTTTTTATCTTTATGGAAACAAGGTAGCAATAATCGATACTTACTATTATAAAGGCAAATTTATTTATTGTATTTAATAAATAATAAATTTAAGTGTTGTTAATTAATGAGGGCTAGTAATCTTCCGCTCACCAGTTGTCGCTAGTGACACTGAGGTGAAGTTTTTTGTTATGCAACATCATATAATTGAGAATAAAAGAAAAAAGAAATAAAAATACAGTTTTAGCATATTAATTATATTTTATTGATGATAAAAAAAGATAATATTGCAATTAATTAAGACTATTCATTTTTGTCCACAAAACATCTTTGAAATCTCAAGCCAAGCAGCCAAATACATATGATGAAATCTTTGTGGGAATCTCATTGATTAAGAATGAAATAAACATACACAATTCTGATATTTTTAATTATAACAATGTTTTTCTTATATTAATAGTGCAAATATTATAGAAAGAATATTTCTTACAGACCTGATGGCAAGAAGAAGGCGTATGTACGACTGGCCAGGGATCATGACGCATTAGATGTTGCCAATAAGATTGGAATCATATAAACAATATGTACCATATTTTGTAAGAATACAAAACATACAAAAGCAAATGTGTTTTCTTGGGTACTTTTTTCGAAATTAGAGCAGGTCATACGACAGTGGGTTGGGACACTTGAGCAGAGCTAGTAACGTGGCGTCGTCCTACATATATATATCATAGTAACATGTCACAGTGTGACTTGGCGTCACGCAGCCCTGCTACACGCGCATGATATCGGGACGAGTAACAAACGGGGAGAGATATGCGGTGCGAACGTATGTAGTAAACGGAGATATGCTGTGACACCCCACATGTGTGACCGTGTGACACTCAATTTGTTGAAACTGCGTAATGTACCCGCAACGTCCTTGTGGTTTCTACAATTGAAAATTAAATGCCATTTTAAAAATTTGCATTCAGCTGAAGAACTATATAATACTCTCATTGCTAAAAATAAGAACTATGTGATGAATCTTGTTAAAAATGTAATCTTTGCTGAGTACAAATTCCCATTTTTGAGTAGGTTTTGGTAGTAGGTAAGAATCAACTTTACTCATATAATTTTATTTTTTAATAATGCTGGTTTTATGTGAAAATTACAGTATCTAGAAATGTTTACCCATTCAATGCCACTTATTTACAAAAAGTTTAATAAAATCGATTTTGCCCCGCGGACGACATACTAAGGCGAATGCAGGAATAATCGTAAAAGCTTCTAATAGTTTGCGATATAACAACTATTTTTCGCTAGGCGTATAATGCCCAAACCGGCAACCGCAAGCAGCGTCAAAGGTGCAAAACAAATGGCACTGCGATTGTCAATCTGCTGGAAAGGCAAGGTATGATAATTATTGGGGAGAGACCTTGTGTCATGTCATACTTTCTAGCGGTGACATGACTTAACACAAACTCCAGCCTAATGTCTAAAATATGTACGCAAAATATACGAAATTGTGCGCCAAATTTAAAAAAAAAGTACTATAAAGACTTCGCAGAAAACAATGATCAACGTGTCACCACCAGGAAGTATTCTTTCTAGCGGGCGCTATATATTTCACTAAGTAATCTTTCACTTTTAAGCTTTGTAACAGGCCAAGAAAAATTATGGAAAGTGTACGTTCAATTTCTATGACTGGGTATATCTATAGATAGAGATTGCAAAACCCGGCTAATCCAGATTTTTCTAAGTTTTAAGGTGATTTGATAAAACTGAAATAAAACAGCATAAATCATTAAAAATCTGCATTTATTCAGACATGATGGAATGAAGTCCCCTAAAATGAACAACAAAACACAGCCATGAACATAAAATCAAAAGCAACAAAATGTAAGATTATTTAAGTTTCCATCATTTTTATAAAAGTGCAGTCTCAAAAAAATAATGTTTAAGGTAAACACAAGAGAAGAAATAATTAATAGGTTCTATTTTATGACACATTAATTTAGTATATTAATCAGTCTTTCTTATTTGGAAACGAGATCTTAAAAACATGGAAGCGTCTAAGTGTCTCATCGTTTAGACATGATCTTATTTTATTACAGAACATGCTAGCTGTGGAAAAAGCTCTTTCAGACTCAACACTGCTCGGCGGTATGGAAAGCAACCAGTTCAGAATTTGTTTAAGGATTTCTCCACGACCTCAACCGTTTTGAAATAAAGACATTGAACGTGAATCAGTTGGGCTGATTACACTCGTTGACTGGTGTTGATGGTCACTATCCACACTTGTAAGAGAAAGTGACCCACACTTGAAGTGAGAAGACGATTGAGCTTTTCTTTAAAACTGAGCGGCAATGCATCATCAGAACTATTAACTAACCCAGTGGGAAACTAGCTTTCTTACACACAGCTAATTATGTAATATCGACTGAATTACAGTCATTTCGATACTGATAACATCCCGAATCTGGTCGTATGTCACATGACGGTCATCTAATATAATAGTTCGCACAGCTGTGATGTTTTCAGGCGTGACCGCTGTTCTTGGGCGACCTGCGGAAGCAACAGTGCTGAACGACACACGACCGCGTTGGAACTCGGCATACCAGCGGTATATTGTCGTTTGACTCAGTGCTTCGACGTCATAAATCGAAACAAGTTCGCTGAGACATTTATCTTGAGATAAGCCGCGACGAAAATTGGGATAAATTATGGCACGGAAATGTTCACGCGTAAGCTACATTTATGTTTATATTCTATTCCCGATCATTTCAATGCTTAGTCTTCCTCAGTCTCTTTTAAAAATTGATTAGGGTTGGTTAAGTATTGTAAGGCACCGACAATATTATAGATTCGGTTCTCTTTAATTCTCCGTTTCAATGAAATTGCCAGTTGCCTGGCAGACATCGTGTCTTGGCTGTCTAATGATTTTATTACAAATTTAAGAGATGTATAACCTAATCCTACCAATTAAATTAATGTTCGAATTTGCGTATTAGAATATGTAATACCAAACTACCCATTACTTAGAAAGAAAATTTGTGAATAAATGTAAAATATCCATTGAACTAAATTTTGACTAAAATTCAAAAAAACCAGATTTATAAAACTAGAAAATCCGGATTTTGCATGCACATGTCGTTCAGTTTGCAGTGCGCCCGGTGATGTCCATCTCTACCAGCTATGTACTCAATTACTTATTCTGTAGTGTTATTTGATTTGGTATATCGTTTATGTAAATGGTTCATCCAGTTCAGAAAAAGTAAATGGCAGAAATGTTATATCATAGTAGAGTATAACTTAGTAGTGACATCTATCGAAAATCATAAATTTAACGATGTTTCTAAGTTAAATTTTTAATCAATAAAAAGTTTTAATGGGTATTAGTTTTTTATCTATAAATATTTTTAAAGGGGATCCTTTTTCTTTCAAATTCGTAGGTAATGTGCTATATAATAATCTGCTCATGTTATATAAATAAAAAAGTATAGTTGAATATTTTATGTGTATACCTATCGGTATAGCAATCTTTTTGTACCACACCAAGCTCTTTTTGTATCAAGTTCGATATAAGTATAAATGAAAATTAAATGCACTATGAGATTTTTATTCATAATCGATGGAATAGTTCGTGATACCGTTGATGGAGCCTTTTATACTTTGAGATTTTTAAAACAGTTTGTCATATATTAAGATAGCTTTCATATTTTCTGACATAACTATTAAAATTTTTGTGTCTGTCCCGGTTGCATAGCTTACATGAGTAAATTAACAGGCTCTTGTGAAAAAGTACTACAAATATCAAAGAAAGTAAATTACAAACACGGATTTGTTATGTAAATTTCATAGTTGATACGTAAGCAACTCAGATCGCGCCGAATCTACTAATAATCTAGCAATTTGAAGTTTCGATTTACCACGTTCTCGGTGGTGAAGAAAAAAATAGCAGGAAACCTGCATATCTGAGATGTTAAAAAAATATTTCGGAAATTATTTTTAGGTATAGGTATGTGAAGTCGGTCATTCCGCGTTGGAGTCAACTTAATTAACTCCTTTTTGACCTTAAACTCGTTGTGACCTGTGCCCAGTAGTGGTATGTATTTAAGCTGCTACTTTTAATAGGGCTTTTCACTGCTGACCACAGGCCTCCCCCATTGCCTATGTCAAACAGTCCGGGTATTTGCAGTAGTATTCACACTTGGCAAGAGGGTTGGCAACCGCAGCTCTTTATTACTTTGCGCTGTTATCGAGAAGATGCTACCCATCTCCTGTTTCAGTTTCTCTCTGTCGCCTCTTAAACGTTCACAGTTTCCCATACAAGGGTCATTTTTTCCTGTCAAGTCCACTTGTATTTTTGTAATAATGTGTTGTTTAGGTCCTATAATGAAATAAAATCAATATATTTTTCTATAAAAAAAAATAAAAAGCTATATATAATCCCGTGTTATTAATTCTTGATAACCACGAAAGCCATGTGAGCATCGAAGTGATAAGCTATGCAAAATCCAACGGCATCACATTGCTTACACTTCCGCCCCATTGCAGCAATAAGTTGCAACCTTTGGATATCGCTGTATATTCGTCATTTAAATCGAGATATAATACTGCGTTGAGCAACTGGGATGCTTTCAAATCCTGGAAGAACAGTAACGATATACCAAATTCCTGGATTCATCAAAACGATTATATCGCAAGCATTCAGCCAAGCCAACATTTTAAGCGGATTTAAAAAATCGGGAATACATCCTTATAATGATAATCTATTCAGTGATGAAGATTTCATGTGTTCTGCTGTAACAGATAGGGATATATCCAATGAAAATTATGAACTTCCCAGTAGTTCATCTCAATGTCGCCAAGCTCAGTTTGTCTTTTCAAGCGCTCAGCAAGATCCACCAGATTTTCCGCAGACCTTCAACGACGTTGATCAGAAAATTCCGTCAACATCTCAACAGATCCCTAATGATGAAGTTCAGGACCCTCCATCTAGTCCCGTGCTTGGTTTAAATAATGTTTCGCTTCTGGATTCAGTGACTGTTTCTCTAACAAATAACCAACTAAACCCTCCAGCTCAGAAAAGTCCGCAAACCTCTGACAAAGTCTTAAAAAGCTTTTCACATGCACCATCAGACTCAACCAAATTCACCAAATTCACTCAACTGTTCTAAAGTTTATCCTGAGAGCCTGGTGAATTGTTGCCTCACTAAATAGAATGACACTCTCATGGCTAAATTAAATTGTAATTTAGAAGTTTCTTTTCATCAGTGCCAAGAGACTGATATAAATTATTATTATCAACCGAATCCACCTACTCTGACACAAAAGCTGGTTCGTCATATTACTAAAAAAGTAACTACTACACCAGAAATAATAAGGCCATATACAAAAGCTGCACCCCGAAAGACAACACGGCGTGGACGACAACCTGGAAAAACAAATATTCTAACAAAAACTGAAAAAATTACAGATGATGATTCAAATGAAATTCTTAAGAAAACAACAACTAAGGCCAAAGGTGACAAGTCCTCAAAAACTAAAGCTAAGAAGAATATTAAAAGACGAAAGAAGGTAGACAAAAAAAGCAAAGGGGCAAGTTTTACAAGAAAAGAACAATGACATAGATTGTGAAGATGATTTTAAAGCAGATTCTAAGAAAATGAAAGAAAAACTAAAGCAAGGGAAAAATAAAATAAAAAGAAACAAAGATACAGGATCAGCAAAATCAAAAAAAAAGGAAAATAAATAAACAACAGAAACGTTCTCGCACGATAGCTCGCTCAATTGACAGTGAATCTGAAGAAAATTATGACAATTGTATTCCTTACGCTGATAGCTCTAATGACGGTGACTGGGAAGGAGAAGGAGTACCAGAGTTGGATACTCGTTGGTATTGCTTTATTTGTGGTACTGAAGAACTCTTGGATATGCGTCTTTGTATTTCTTGTAAAAGGTATGTCCACGAGGAATGTGTAGGGCTAACTATTAACGATTCTGAAAACTTCATGTGTCCAGAATGTGATTAATTCAATAAAAATACTTTAAGGGTGGATATAAGTGCCACAAACAATTTTGACTGCCCTTGATCTCTAATTACGATGTTACTTTTATAAGTGAGTTATTATAATTAAAACTAATTATTGATTTCTTTATAATTACAGTTAATTAAGAGTGACATTCATAAACTTTCAAAACTGTTTTACTTTTTGTTAATTGATTAAAATAATGACAAAAACTTTGATATTTAAATTGTTTTCACAGTAACAGAAAGTACTCCCCAACCCTATGGTCAAATGTCCCATGGGTTGGGGAGATTTGAACCATTTCTGACTTTTTAAAAAAAGTTCCATAATTCTTAGTAGATAAAAGATATTATAACATTTGTACCACCAATCGAAGCCTATTGAATTAAGCAATCCAAGTGTTAAAGACTGATATATCTACAAGAAATCAGTAAGATTTTACAGTCTTTTTTGTAAAAGGGGGTTCAAGTCTCCCGGATTACTCCTATGTCATTTTCGACTCCATATGGAGTCGTGGACAGTGAACTTCAGTGAACGTGTTAAGACACCCACGGGACGAAATGAGGTACTTAGTGGTTTCTTTTTAGCCGCCTCCACATGGTTAATATATTATTTCTACTCCCGTTCATCAATTTCATTTCCTCCACAAACTGCCATAAAGTTGGATATTTGCCATAGTTGCCACGCTTGGCATGCGAGTTGCTAACTGCAATTTTTATTATTATAAGCTATGATCATGAAGACGCTGCTTCCCATCTTATGTAGAATTTTACTGCTGTTCATGAATTTAGTTCTTCTCACACGTTCTCCGTGAATAAAACTACATTTATTAAAATATTTACGCGAACACTACACATTGAAATAATACTAGTTTTTACAGAATTAATCGCGTATATTTAACTTTTTAAATACCCGACGTTTCGACGACTGACATCTCAGTCCCGCCCGTGACCATGAGTGCTGTAAAGCGTTCGAAACGTCGGGTATTTAAAAAGTTAAATATACGCGATAAATTCTGTAAAAACTAGTATTATTTTAATGAAGTCTACTCGAACGTAAAAAATACTGGTATGTATGTGGTGGACCAATTCTTAATAAAAATCATGAAATAAAACCTTATTATATCAAAACTATATTAATTTAATAATGAATATTATGTAAATAACGCATTTCCGATTGCAGGACAATTTTCCCTTCATAAAGACACATCGGAAGACGTGCCCAATATAAATAAGGTGTTGCTTGATGTACGATACTTAACGATTCTGATAAACTAACTTATGTGTTTCCGTAGCATATAATATTGCCAATATAGACACATATACCGACGTTTCTCTACAAGTGATCCAGTTTTGCGAATTTTAGTGCGAAATAGTATTATCGATGTTTCTAAATTCAAGCCCACGCGAGCGAAGCCGCGGGTAAAAATCTAGTCTACAATAAATTATCAAATAACATAAGTCATTTCTAATTAGTATTTATTTGCTGTTCAGAAAAAATTGAAAAGCCAGCAGCCAGATTTTATATAATTCTAAGTTCTCATTCTCACTTTTGATCATTAAAAGATTCAAACAACTACCTATGTGTTTTATTTTTAAAACTATAATAACAGAGCAATGACAAGTTTGTGACAGAAAAACGCAATAAATGATTATTGGCCCAACTCAGGTTTCGAATCCGGGACCACATGATCAGCAATTGCGTTTACGACCATTAGACCAAGAAGGCAGTCAAACGTGTTAAATTACAACTATAATAATTTTAAAGGCGTTCCGCTCTGAGGGAAAAAATAAATGGTGACTACTCATACCTGTAACAAAATTTTACTTATCAGTTTGTATTATAAACATACTTAGTACCTATATTTACATGTTTATTACTTGCTACTAGCTCACTCTTTGAGTGGATACTAGGACTAAGGAAGACATCCAAACCGGTTTGGATGCCTAATTTTTCACTACCTCTCAATGGCATACCACGGTAATCAATATTTTGTTACGTTTATACGGCAACAGTGGGCGTGATGAAGTTGTACACGGATGCTCTCTACAACGCCCTGCGGACGACTGGCCATAGATTACTGTATACGACTGGCGCAGTGGCTTTTTTTTTGCGCCCGACGCAATTAAAGGGCTACCCTATACGTAGGGAGGCGGAAAATGCATTACGCATACCACGATAGCCGGTCTATCGTGTTTATGAGGGGCTCACTGTCCTACCGGGGACCCTAAGTGATACCCTCTAAAAACCGCCTTTGGGGACAGGCAGCCGGCTGATTAAGCTGTATTGTGCCTTATCATGAGCGACCCTCTTTTGGGAAGAGAGGGCGCAGGCGACTAAGTGCCGCTGAGGGAGTGCCTACGAAGGCAAATTAATGTTAGTTATTACAATAATTTAATTAGAGTTGGCCTGAGCCGCCAGGAGACAGTTCAGGTCGTTTGACAATTTATTAGGCGGGTCCGAGAGAGAGTTTCTCGGCCTGCGGACACGATAGCGAGAGGGGGTGGGGCTGCATAAGAAGCTGCCTCACGAATTAATTGGTTTGGGTGCGACTCTGAGGCTTTGAAGAAGTTCTCAGAGAGTTTTTTTAGAAATTGTTGAATTGTTGGGAGCTCTAAGTCCCGATGAAGGTCGGCATTACGGACGTACCAAGGTGCGTTCGCAGCTCGACGACAGAAGAGGTTCTGAACTATTTGGAGGTCATTTATAATATTAGGGTTTGCGTGGGCAAAGACGGGGCCCGCGTAGGACTTGACTGGTCGTATACAGACCTTGTAAAGGGTACGCTTGTTTCGAAGGGACATTTTACTGTGTCGGCCCAACATACTGTTGAGCCTACTCAGATAAAACCGTGCGTGACGGGTTACTCTTTTGACGTGGGGCCTGAAAGTGAGCCCTGTGTCTAGAGTGACACCTAAATATTTGGCGGACGTATGCCAGGGAACAGGGGTCCCTAGCATACGTATTGGTGGAGTGTTTTTGAGACGGCGTCGTTTATAATCGAAGTGAACGGCGGAGCTCTTCTCCGGGTTCACATCGATGCGCCATTTTTTGAACCAAGCTCCTTGATCATCAACTGACTTTTGGATCTTGTTCCGTATGAAGGGTAGTGAGACACCTTTGCAGTAGATGGCAGTGTCGTCTGCGAAGAGGGAGAGTTGAACACCTTTCGACGGGATGGGAATGTCGTTGGTGAACAGGATGTACAGCAGAGGAGCAAGTACTGAGCCCTGAGGGACACCAGCCTTGATAGTTCGCTGTGAAGAAAGCGTGCCTTCGTGTCTAAAACGAAAGGTACGATGTTTTAAATAGGAGGCCACGAGACGAACTAGACGATCGGGGAGACCTATTTTGTAGAGCTTGTAGTTGAGGCCTGTGTGCCAGACTCTATCGAAAGCTTTAGCTATATCGAAAAAGACCGCGATGGTCTTATGACGACGAGGATAGAAACCGCTGAGGATATATTCCACAATACGGTGGACTTGTTGGGGACATGAATGTTGCGCTCGGAAACCGAATTGATGGGGAATGATAAGAGAGCCACCGTCTGTGGGAAACAGGTAGCGCCTCATACGTGTTTGGATGACTCTTTCGAAGAGCTTGCCCATTGCCTTGAGGAGGCTAATGGGGCGATGACTGGAGGGGAGGTTGAGAGGCTTGCCTGGCTTGGGAATTCCAATCACAGTAGCCTCTTTCCACGTAGTGGGGAAATAACTGAGGTTGAAGCAGGCGTTGAAGATAATAGATAAAAAGGTTAACACCTGCTCAGGAAAGTGTTTTAGGGCTTGGTTGGAGATGCCATCCGCGCCCGGAGCCTTTTTGGGCTTAAGTCCTTTGATGAGGGATGAAATCTCATCATTGGACACAGAGATAGGTTCGGAGGCCGTAGGGGGTGAGTTCCGGCGGCGGACCTCATCCTCCACTGCCTGGACGTGAGAGGGGTCGACGGGTTGAGAACTAGGAGAGCATTGAGCGGCAATGCTATCTGCAAAGCACTCAGCCTTTTCCTCGTCCTCGAAGGCAACCGTGCCGTCGGGACGGGAGAGAGGGGGAGTGTGGGTGATAGCGTCTATGTGGAGGGCTCTAGCCATCTGATAGTACGCTGTGTGAGATGGAGAGATATTCTCCATGAGCTTACTCTTTTCGAG